GACAAGCACCCTTTAAATTTTCTTAAAGGATATTTGTCCCAAGATTTTTGCACACTAAATTTTGGACAAATAAAGCATAAAGAAAATTGATCTCGAGTCATGATTTGAAGCCTTTTTGCATCATTTGCTTTGTAACTTTTAGCAAATTTTTCTTTTATTATCCCCAACAGATAGAACTAGAAATGGCCATTCTCCGTTGCAGCCTAATCCACCTAATCATCAGGGGCTGAACATGGGATTTGAAGCAGAAAGCAAAAGCTACGAATTCTTGGGTGAGACTTCATTTTATAGTTTACCTAAGATTGAGCTTCGATGCTCTACAGAGAGAATGGCTAAGTGCAACAATTATTTCTTGGCTAATAGAAGACAGTTTATACGTGGGAAGTGGCAATGACATCAGACAAAAGCTTGTTAAAACCTTACATGAGGGTAATTCTAGTCAAAAAGCCTGCACTCAGAGGATCAAGATCATGTTTTACTAGCCTGGAATGAAACAAGATATTATTCATTATATTCAGTACTGTGATGCATGCCAAAAAATAAAGCGAAGCACTTGCCTTGTCCAGGTTTATTACAACCACTGCCAGTTACAAGACAAGCATGGACCACATCACAATGGATTTTGGGAAGAAATTACCATTATCTGGAAATTTGAAGTAGTGTTGGTTATAGTGGATAGATTGATCACATTTGATCACTTTTTCTTTTAACTCATCCTTTTACGGCATTGCAAGTAGCTCAACTATTCTTGGATAATATTTACAAACTTCATAGATTACTTGAATCCATCATCACTGATAGGGACAAGATTTTTACTGGCAATTTTGGGCAAGAATTGTTCAAGTTAATAGGAGCTGAGCTGCATTACAGTTCAGCATATCACCGGCAAACGGATGGGCAAAGTGAAAGGTTGAAACAATGCATAGAATCATTTCTCAGGTGTATGACTAGTGAATCACCATCACGGTGGAACATATGGATCAGTCTAGCTGAATGATGGTGTAATAAGTCCTTTCACACTGGTTTAAAACTCTCTCCTTTTGAGGCATTTGATGGATATAAACCATTTCCTTTACCTATGGGATTCTACTGCGACCCTGTTATCCTTGCTGCAAGTACTGTATTACAGGACGGAATATACTAGTTGCAGACTATAAATGGGTATCTGAGCAAAGCTCAAAACAGAGTAAAAGTGTTTGTTGATAGACACAGAACTGAGAGACAATTTGAGTTAGAGATTGGGTGTTCCTGAAACTACAACCATACAAACAGCAATTTGTTGCTTTGAGAAGGAATCTGAAGTTGACTTCAAAGTTCTATGGACCTTTTAAGATTCTGGAAAAGATCAATGCAGTAGCCTATAAATTCAAATTACCCATTAGAGCTAGAATTCGCCCTGCATCCCATGTATGTCTCTGGAAGAAGAAGTTAGGTCCTAATCAGGACATCTCTACCAGATTTTTGCAGCAATGATCAGTGCTTATTGGAACCAGCTGCCATTCATAAGTGGAGTAATTCTAAGAAATCCAGTTATTCAGTGTCTTATCGAGTGAATATGTACTTTATACCTTTTTTTTTTTTTAATTATTCACGAATTGTTTCACGTCTTCATTTTGGGAAACACAAACTTCATAGTCCTATCTGCTTCTATCTTTAAGGCGATCTACTATGTATAGTAATGGAATTCGTATTATCAAAACCAGGAATTCATGTGAAGAAAGTAGCTATAAACTGGCAATGAATAGCATGCTTACAGTTCAAATTATTAACTTTGTTTATTAGATTGGTTTTGATTTGTTATTGTAAAGGATCTTTTTCTTTTTATTTTTTGATGAATTTTTTTAATAGGTGCTCACATAACACACCTAAATTTCACCTAACTTATCTTGTGAATATATACAATCATTGCACCTCCTACATTTAGACATTTTTCTAAATGAACAAACATTTTTAAAAAAAAATTAACACCTCCCTTCTAATGAGGGGTAGGCATCCCATTAGTCAAACTGTTTTTATGTATTTGCTTTCAATTAGTGTGCTAACTGATATCCCATGTCGGACTCAGGAAATGAAAAAGAATTGTATTCAACGTCTGGTGTCCGTCGGATTACTAATAACTTTAGATTAATCATTTTGAATTCGTGATTTCAATTCAAAAAAGTATTGGACGACAGGCACGTGGCATTACACTAACAAATGTTATTATAATTTGCATTTCTTTTTACAAATAAATCATAATTAAATAATTGAGCAAGAAAGCAGTACATAGGGGAGTAACCAGGTCTTCCTTGGGGTCCACAAACATAGAATTGTTGATTCAACTAACATTAGCATAAGCAAAAGAAAGCATAAATCACAAGACAGTGGTTGCACAGTTCAAATTTGCTCCATGTCGAGAATTGTTTGTATTAATCCGAACCATAATTTTTTTAGGATGAAAAATAATCGTTTTACTAATTTCAGATTTTAATATTTTTGTCAACATGAAATCAATGCTTATTGCTTCACATTATTTTGTAGTAGTCAATGCATTAGGAGTTCCAAACAATTCATGAGCATGCTAACTAGAGTCTTTCAATGTTTAATGTAGTTCTTATTATACCAAGCATATGATTCTATTTTCTATTTCGCATCTTTTAAGGTTACAAAGGACAGACATCTTGCAACAATAAATAACGATGTTTAGTTACTTTGATTCTAATGCTTATCTAGCACAAGTTTCTTGGTGTTTACCTATATAACGGGAGTAGTCCAACAAATTTCCAACCATGACATGATTTATATAATGGACAAGACAACTCAATAATCACTTTTTTATAGGAAATTAAGAGGTAAAGTTCCTCACAAAATTTTTTTGTCATTTTGAAATTAATTTTATATTTAAATCATGTTAAACTAAATCAAGGGTATTTTAAATTGTTAATGCTTCAAATTGGAACCATTGTGCTTTCTATGGATTGAGAGATTTTACAGATATATTCTAAGATATGCATCATACACGCTCACTACAATGCCATGGATGTATGTTATGTTTTCAGCAAATTAAAGAAATAGTAAGTTTAAATCCATCTAACTACATAAAGTAATATAGATTATGTGTGTGTGCGTGTGTGTGTGAACTTTTATTTCAATTAATCATTTTCTCTCTTCTAAATGGCATGCCTAATTGAAAAGAGTTAACGGGTTAATAGATACTTAAATTTTACTTATTTTTGGATCTAACTCTCCACCAATCAATTTTACTTACAACTAGTATTTAACCCATGCATTAGCACAAATTATCTTTTTATTTGTGATTAGCTATGAATTGATGCAAAAACATAAATAATTCATCAACAATTTTTTCCATATTATTCATTTTTATATCAGAAAATTATTGTATTCCAAATATTTAACTACCATATTAGTATTAATAATTTTTATATGTAAATTTTTTACAATGTGGTGATATTTATTAAATAGTATAATGGATGAAAAATAAATGACAAGTACTCTTTGAGATAGCAATTAAATTTTCTCATGAAAATGATAAAATACCCAATCACATTCATTTTCAGTTCAGGACAAAAAAATATGTAGCACTCCATTCTTATATAAATGATTTATTACTTTATATACATATACATACATACATATACATAGACATATACATATATATATACACACATATATAGAGACACACACACACGTGTGTGTGTGCATATTCTATCTCCTTTGATAATTTGAACTACTTTTTATGGTAACTCTCCTTAGTGTCAATTTAATTATTACACTAGCAAATTAATTAACTTTGATAGAAAGTAATAAATCACTTATATAAAAATAGATTACTACATTTTTTTCTTCAACTAAAGATAAATATGAGATTATGAGTTGATATATAATTATATTCATGGAAAAATTTAATTACCATCTCAAAGAATACCTGTTATTTCTTTTCTTTTATGCATCATACTATTTAATAAAGATTATGACATTTTAATAAATTCAAAATTTTCTAAAGACTAATATGGTAGTTTAATGTTTGGAATAGAATAATTTGCTAATGTATAAATGAATAATGTATAAAAACATTATTGATGAATTATTTATGTCTTGCATCGATTCATAACTAATCACAATAAAAATTATTCTATGCCAATGTATGAGATAAATATCAATGATCTTTTAGAACTATGACAGGGAACCAACCAACCAGCTTATACTTTCATTTTTTTGGAAAAATTGCACCAATCGTCCCTCACATATTAGTGATATGAAAATTTAGTCCCTCAGAATGAAAAGGAGCATTTTCAGTCCCCAAAAAATAAAAAAAAAATGTTCAATTTTAGTCCTTGTTAGCTTTTTGGTACGAATTCTTGATGGACCCAATCACAGGAACATCACGTGACCTATTTTTCAAGGTTAAAAATAGCAAATCACTCAAATATTGACCAAAATGTAAGTGGCCAACTACTTTGCTTCTTCAACCTCCTTCAACTATTCATTAAATCCCTAAATCAACTTGAAGTTGCCATGGGATGTCTTGTTTTGGTCCCTATAACTTCAATTAGCACAAGTGTACAACACATCTGAAAAAAAAAAAATCCACTACAGCTTCAACTATTCATTTAGAAGTTCATTCAGATCTATTACATATACATTGGTATAAGAAAAGGGGAAAAGAGAATGTAGTATGTCAACATTACATTTGCAAAATATGTTAATCAACAATCTATTTCCACAAAAGGAAGTACAAAGTTGAAGCGAGGCCTGTTTGGAACCTGAGTTTTTTGGGAGTTTGTCTAAAACTTTACTGTAGTGCACTGTAGAAATTTTTGAAAAAATTTTGTAAAAGTTTTTGTAAGGTGAAAAAACTTTTTTTCCTTTTCTTTTTTTTTTCTTTTTCTTTTTCTCTTTCTTTTTTCTTTGTCTTTCTTTCCTTTCTCTTTTCTTTCTCTCTTCTTCTTCTTCTACGCAGCACCAACGCAACGCACCAACGTAGCAGCCTGCTCCATCCCCTACTCCACCACCGGCCCCACCTCCAAACCTCCGCCAAGGCCTCCTCCAGCCTCTCCTCCCACGCCTCCACCTGTTCCACCTCTGGCACCACCGCCAATGCCTCCACCAGTCCTTCCTCCTACTCTCCCGCCTGCTCCACTCCCAACTCCACCACCAGCCCCACCTCCTGCACCACCACCTTTTCCTCCACCTGCTCCTCTACCAGCACCTTCTCCAACGCCACCACCAGCACCACCACCACTACCTGCACCTCCTCCAACTCCAGCACCACCGTCGGCTCCTCCACCAGCACCTCCTCCAATGCCACCTCCCGCCACCCCTCTTCTCCCTTTCCCCTTCTCCTCCCCTTTGCCCTTCCCCCTCCCTCTTCCCTCGCCCGGCAGTCAAGGCGCACCTCCTCCACGAGCCAGTCAATTTTTTTTTTTTTTTTTTGCAATATTCAGCCTTCCCCTCTCATCCCCCTCTCCGCAATCTGGTGCGTGGAAAAATCCCCCTCCCCGGGGCTATCTAGCCTCGCTACCAGATCGGCCAGAGGGGAAGGGGAAGGGGAAGGGTGATGGGGGAGGAGTGGGGGAAGGGATTTTTTTTTTTTAAAAAAAAGGGTCATACAAACTGGGTTAAGGGAGAGGATGGCAGGGGAAAATGGCGGGGAGAGGGAGAAAGGCCAAAAAAAAAGGGAAACGTCGCAGGCGCCGGAGGTGGTGGTGGGTTGGGATGGGGGAGGAAAAAGGAAAAAAAAAAGGGAAGGGAATTTTTTTTGTGTGTTTTGGGTATTTTGAAGTGTGTAGGTAAAAAATTTTGAGAAGTTTTTTGGGATTCTGTAGCAAAAGTTGTTAAAAAACTAGTAGGTAAAAAACTTGCTTAAAAACCTGGCTTCCAAACAGGCCCGAAAACTTGTTGAGAAGAAGGGTACTAGTAGTACTAAAGGAGGGTAATGAGGATGAAGATGTAGAGGCCTAGAGGGTTGCAATGACGGAGTACTTGAGAACTACTAGCAAGATTGCTATTGAAATCACAAACATCTATCACAACACCTGCACGCTTGCCCAGGCCAACACCCCAATCAACCCAATTGCCACCACGTTATCTGGGTCTGGGTCCAATGGCAAATCAACCCATTTTAGATTCAATCCGAGCAGCTGTTCATTCCCATTTAAGTTCTTCCCATTCTCACTGCCATTATCACCATCGATTCCGTTGCTATTAGTATTATCTTTGAGCCCTTCCTTGCCCAATGGATTGCTACTGTCTTCCCCATTATTACTTTTGTTGTCATCTAATGCCCAGACCAAAATCAAGCATTTCTTGCGAAGATTAAATTGTGGGCTGTGGGATTTTAGGGGAAAGTAGTTGTAGTAGTTGTGGAAATTAAAGAGAAGAACAGTAGTAGAAGTAGAGGGCATAATACAAGATGGTTTGGAGGAGAAAGTAGAGGATGGGGTTAGCGCTATTCAGGGTAAGAAAAAGGCGAGCCCATCAACTGATTTCGTCATCTGATTATTCTGCTCTCAGTTCCTCCTCCTCCTCCTAGCCTATATCAATTGGTTAGATAACAAGAAAACAACACTAAAATTATTTAATGAATAGTTGACGGGGATTGAAGAAGAAAAGCAGATGGTCCCTAACATTTTGGTCAATATCTAGGTGATTTGTCATTTTTAACCTTCAAAATAGGTCACGTGATGTTCTTGTTATTGAGCCCATCAAGAATTCGAACAGAAAAGCTGGCAAGGACCAAAATTAGGGATGGCAATGGGGGCGGGTGCCCGCCGCGGGGGCTCTCGGGGCGGGGGTTGGGGCGGGGGCGGGGGGGAATTTTTTCCCCCCGCTTAGAAACGGGGCGGGGGGCGGGGGAGTATACCCCCGCCCCGCCCCCAACAAAAAAAAAAAATATATATATATATATATAAATATATATATAATTATATATAATATGTAAGTTAATTAGTTATAAACTTATGATAATGATATTATTAGTTAGATGTATTATATAATGTATATTAGTTTATGTAATATAATTGATAATATATGAATAATTCTACATGTCTACTAATAGAATTTATTAATTAGTTATACTAAATTTACTAATACATTTATACTAAATTTCTAATTACACTTAATAGAATAACACTTTTTTCTCAAAAAAAAGCACAAACACAATAATGAATTAGTGATTGCATTTGTACTAAAAGTGAAAACTTGACTATTTTAGTTATATTTATTTCATCATATTGGATTGTATTCAAATAACTTATGTTTGATTGTTTTTATGAGTTTCAATTGTAAAATTACAATGAATAATAATTTGGTGATGTGTTGATATTTTAGTATTTGATTATTTATTAAAATTTAATTAAAATAAAATTATATAATAAAATTTTATTAACCCCGCGGGGGAAGCGGGGCAAGGCGGGGCGGGGGCGGGGGGGGGCGGGGAGCAGGAGGCGGGGGGACGGGGCGGGGAACGGGGGGAACTAATAGGCAACGGGGCGGGGGACGGGGGAGGGGTCCCCCGCCCCAACCCCGCCCTGTTGCCATCCCTAACCAAAATTGATTGTTTTTTATTTTTTAGGGATTGAAAGTACTCCTTTTCGTTTTGAGGGACTAAATTTTAACATCGCTAATATATGAGGGATGATTGGTGCAATTTTCTATTTTTTTGGGTCAAAATCACATTAGCTTTTACCGTGTGTAATATTTTGTGAATATTGTATGTGTTGGACTAAATGCAACGTGCTGCAGGGACAGCCCGAAAGTACCCAACCTAAATCACAATGCACAACAAAATGGCCCAACTCTCAAGTGCCCATAGTTTTCTTCGGCTTATCCAAATGCAGTACATTTCCGCCTAACTTTTCCTTTTTTGGAAAATGATGAATATTGGCCCAAACCAAAGTTACACGGGTAGAATTCTCATAGTCTCATACTAAATAGTTTTAAAATTTTAGGTTTACAAGGAGTAATATTCTATATACATATAGTATATATATTGTCAGTCGGTATGTCAATAGGTCAATAGGTCAATAGGTAGAGTTTGAGTTGGATCACTATAATACTGCCCAGACCCACTAAATTTAGTTAGATTCAGATCCAGATTCAGATCCAAACTCTTATGGGTTTGAAAAAGTAAATCCAGATTTGGACTCTCGTGGGTTTGAGTATCTAATAGGAATTTGTGAATATTTTTATTAACATACTATGAGAAATTAAAGCAAAATATTTTTAAAATATATAGAATTCAAAAATAATATAAATACCATCCAATTTTTATTTTCAAATAATAAATTTAATATTCAAGATGTGATGTTTTCTTAGGTTAAGAATGTGATGTTTGGACATGGAATCATAGAAAATCAGATCCTATCCAAACCCGTGACTCCCTTCTAGGGTCTGGGTCTGGGTCTATGTAGGGTTTAAATTTGAGAAATTAAATCCAAATCCTACTCAAATATATTGGGTCTCGATTGAATCTGAGTAATACTTAATCCATTGACATACTAAATTATCTACATTGAATGGATGAGAGGTACACAAAATTAAAATTTTAAAGAAAAAAAAGAGAGAAGATACCTCACATAAATAAGTAACAATTAGGAAGCCTTATAATGAATCTTCTATTATTACAGGTTGGTGTCCCATATGGCGATATCTTAAGAAAACTTATCCGTAATAATTCAATAAGGCCTCCCATTAGCTGTACTCAGGAAAGTGCATTAGATTGAAAGCAAAGTAGTTATAAGGTTGTGCAGCAAAATTTTGTATAGGTTGAATGCATATTATTGCGTAGATTACTTTATTTGAGCAGAGAAATTAGATAATAAAGAATCTATTATGCACTTATTTAGAATATGTGACTACTTTAGTTTCTCTTTTTAGTCATCCATAACAACTTGTATAAAAAGAATCAAGTTCACGAGCCTATGACTTATAAGTAGAAGGTTTTAGGTTCAAAACATTTCACTTTAAAAAAAAAAAGATTTGAAAAGTGGAGAGAGGGAGAGAGGAATTGGAATCTAGAATTTAGAGATTTTGAAATCTCAACTTTATTCACTAGATCGAAACCTCGTAAGTAGAAAATTCATTAATGGGAGTGTTTGGATAGCACATATATCTCAAATAATATTTCACTTACATCATAAAGACATTTCTCAATTCACCTTTTTATATTCTCAATTACCTTTTTATCTCACATATATCATATCACAAAAAGTGCTACAGTAATTATTCCAGATAATATTTCAAGTAATACTCTATCACATCACAAATTATATTGTTTGACAGATCTGCAAATTAAAATCTTGAGTGTATGAATAGCTCAAGACAATTGTAGAAGAGAATCAAGTAGCTTAATTTTGACATGGGATACCATTTTTGTTTGACCTATGTGATAGCCAAAACAGTGTACGTAAAAGAAGAAAAAGAAACGAGGGGGTCGTAAAGATTAATGAAATAACCTAATGTAGCTCCATGGGAGTCAGAATTATTGGCAGGATTCCAGAACAATATGATTAGCCTTTCTGCAAATAGCTCATGTGTCATCATCATGCACACAACTACCATCGATAAGTGGACAAAGCAAGAGGACAAGCTTCTGCTTCCTGGAGACAAGAGGGGCATTCTTTCAGTTCTTTAATACTTTCTGTTTCTTTGTTTTTTTTATTCGTCTTCTTGAATGGAATGGATAATTAAATGTGGTTGGTAATTGCTTTGAGAGAGATTTTAAGTTACACCAAATCTCTCGTGAATGTTGAAATTTGGTGCCTAGACAGAATTCTCCTAATCAGTGAACTGATTTATGTTTAGTTGTCAGTCACAAGGCCCCCTTTTGTTAGCACATAAAATCGCACAACCGACGATATTTGACACATATAAAAATATATTAAAAAAAAAAGAAGTTTAATAATCACAAGTATATAAAAAAATATTTGTCTCTCATATTGAGATCGACCTTAACTTCAGGTAAAATTAGTTTTACAAACACCAAAACTTTCATTAGTCTTTCCTAATTTTTTTCTCATTAGGAAACTGCTAAATAATTACTCTATATGAAACAAGTAGACTGCTAAAACTGGACTGTACTTGAACTTCTTCTCTCCTTCCAATATTATTAACTACCTTGCATGATTTCTCATAGTTTTGGAAGAGTTTTTAGAGAGAAGCAAGGATCATGGGTGACTGGATATTATGACAGAATTGGTACTACAACAGCCTTGTAGTTAAGCTTTGGAGAAAGATAAAGGCATTTTTCAAGATACTGTAAATATGAAGCTCCATGTCGTGTTAGTGGCTTGGTGGATCATTATAGAGTGTTAACCCAGAATATGCAGACATTATAAGGGAGGAAACAAATTGTGTTAATTTGTAGCATATGTAGCAGCGAAATCTAACCCTTAATTCATTATATATGAGCAAACTTCCCATTGATAAAACCAGTCAATTATTTTTACATTTGTCATTAGTTGCTTTTGTATTATCAATAGTAACAGTTGTTTTGGTCCTGTTGGCTTTATGCCCTTTCACAAGTCAAGAGCTAGCAACCCAAGAAAGTAATATTTTGTCATTTGATAGTAACAAACATTCACGTTCTACATATAAACAAAAGGAGACAAAGAAAAACAATTATCAATTCTTCTGTAAATTTTGAATGTAGAGTCAGTTAATAATTAACATAGAGGTGAATGTGATGATGTCTTGAGCCACGAATTCCAGATCCTGTTGCTCTGATTTTGGTGACCCGCAAATTTTGAATGTTGCCCACAGGCTTGCATATGGACAGATAGTAGTATAGTACATGAAATGAATTCTATTCTAGTACACGTCCCGTGAAACCGAAATTGTTATAGACCTCTTGTTTCTAGTCCTGTCCATTTCAGGCACTAAACTAAATTGTTTTTTACTGCTTCCATCAGATTCAGGGATTTGACGAAAGATTTAAAATTTTTTCATATTGTATATGTAAATTGGGACGTATTTGGATTTTTTAAAAAGTATTTAAATAATTGGTGAATCGCCAAATCCAAATACTTTTCAAGTAATTCAAACAATTTAAAAGAATTTGAGAGAATCTTAAATTCTTCATAGAATATCTCAATTCAAGCGCAACGTTATTTATTTATTTATTACTAAGATTACAAGTGGCTCAGGAATGTTGAGACCTATACAAGCCTATTAAAACTCAACGATATTGAGGGTGTCCAAAATTAATTATAGCACCATAAATTTTTAATAAACTATAAGTAATATTTACCTACACAAATCATTCTTGCAATGTACAATTACATTTTCTTGAATTTAAAGTAAATCCTGGCTTTGGAAACACTTGGATGTGGGAGATCTGTCTATAAATCAGTTTCAACCACCCATATATCCAATTTTTTCTTAGTGGTAAAAGAACAAAAGTCTA